TCAGTGTAGCTAGGGATGTCAATGTGGCTTGTGCATTATTTGACCTTAGGTAGGTTTTTGTTAATTTAAGTTTGGAGAATTTTCTTTCTCCACTTGCGACTGTGACCGGTATGGTAAACAAAATTCTTAATGAAATCCATATTAAGGGGTATAAATCCTCTAATTGATTTTTTTAAATTAAGTTAAGTACATCGAGGGGTGAATTTCAATCGTTGATTTTGGTGAAGTGTTGTATGCAAATTAATTCATCGCAAAGATAAACTGCTTCAATTTCTAACCCATCCGTCAAAGCTATTTGGAGATCAGTGTAATATTTTAGTAATTCATCCTTTTCAAAGCTAGATATTTTACTGAAATTATAAAGACATTTTTCTAAAATTTTCTAATTTTAACTCCTCGCGCGCCCCCTGATTTTGGCGCCCCTGTGCCGTCACACGCGTCGACCGTATCTAAAGCCAGCCCTTATCAAACATACTTACAAATAAAGATTAACATACAGATTTATTTTTCGCATGCAATGATTTATTATTGAATAAACATCTAACATATCTATTGCAATAGCCTGCGTTGATGTTAATTATCAAAACCTATATTATAAACGTTGGGAAACTTACTTGGTTTTTGTTTTATATGTTAGTATTAAGAAATTTTTATTTTTGGTACATTACACTTTTTTTCTCATCTAGTGATTGTGACACCTTGGATATAACATATTATACAAGTAGAGCTTATACATATTTATAAAGATATTTTTAATTTCAAACTTCTATAGCTTAAATATTTATTTATCATAAAATTTTAAAAGTTCACAATGATAAAAACACATTTTAAAATGTTCAATATATTATTGCAGTTATAATTTATGTAAACAATAATAATAATAGTGTTAATTGTAAAAATAATAATTTAGAATAATAATAATAATAATAATAATAATAATAAATAATAATTAATTTATAATAAATATATAATAGGTAACTCTAATACTACTGCGAAAAATAACAATTATAATAATAATCATAGTGTTAGCATTCTGCATTTATAATAATAATTATTATAATTATAGTAATTCATAAATCTATACCATGGCTCAGCTAAATAAATAGACTACACACAACTATTAAACTACTATTTTAACAATGTTTATAAACTAGTAATACAATAAACACTATATTATATCATGGTATTCATCGTAGTAAAAATGAGAGAAAAAGACACTCGAATATAATAAATCACATTATACAAAAAATAAATAAATAAATAAACAAAACCGTAAAATATTAAAATGCTTAAAATTTGTGTTGGAAGACGAGGACGTCGATATGCATTTCATTGACAATATAATATATTTATTATATTGATTTTTATCGTTAGTAATTATTTATGAAGACAGTGATCAGTCCACAACACTTAAAATACATTTTTTAAACAATCAAAAATAGTGTTAATTACAATAAGTGTGTTTGTGGAATAATCTAATATAAGAATAATTTTACAATAAAGATAATGGTAATACATATTTTAACCAAAAGCGTTGAGTTTCACAAATGCGAAATATATTCAATGTCATCATTAGTTCAATTATAATAGTTTTGAAAAAATGTAATAACTGTGGTATTCACGAAAAAAATCTATTCGATTAAAATTTAAGCGACAAAACAATTATAAAACTAAATATTAGGTATGTAAGTAGATAAATAATTTTATAATTTGTTACTCTTTAATAGTTGGTTGTACGCCATAGGTACTTTATATCAACAAAATCATCAAGCCGGTATTTAATATTTATATGTACCTATCGAATATATTTATCACATAGTATTGATGAATATGATATGATATTATTTTAATTTTAAATACCTAGTGACGATTTTTTTAAGTATATTATTTATTAAGTAAGAACTATTTCAAAAAATTGTCATGTTAAAACTAGTTTAAAGAAATTTATAATTTTTAAACATTAAGGAGTAACCTTATAAGTTATAAGATATATAAAAACATTAAAAATGTGTTAACACTCGTTTAGCGGACATTTGCATTTATTTCTTTAATTATTTTAATTTGACAGGGATTTGTCATTGATACAATTATTCTTATAATCATAAATAATTTAACTACTTAAATAAATTAGTTTACTCGAAAATCATAAATATAAACGACTAAGTTTCTGTTAATAAAAATCAGGGCTTAAGACCGGAATTTAATCAAAAACGATAATCAAATAAAACAAGTCAATACTGGCATTCGAAAGAAAAATCAAAATCGTAAAAAATTAATACTAATATTCAAAAATTAAAATCAGCGTTCAAAAATTTCTTTTGTTTCAAGCCATGATAGAAAAGTTTTATAACGTGTCAAGTGAAATATTATTATATAGTTAGTCTATAGTACTATTGGAGTTAGTTGTTTTTATTTAAAATAAAACGGTTTTAAAAAATATTAGTTAATTAGATATATGGTCGATTTTATATTATTGAATTTAATTTTCCATTAGAAAAAGGTGTATGTTTAATACAACTAAAGTAAAAATGTTCAAGTTATAAGTACCTACCATGCGATATACATGAGCGATTTACTGATGTATATGAATTATTATCAATTAATGATGAAGGGAATGAAACGATGATTTGCAATAAATGTAATATGAGGGTATAAAAACGGATAAGAGATTTCTAATTTTGTTCGAATATTAGTTATTACTAGAGCTAGGATTTTAATGACCTAAAAAATACACAAAAATGCACTAAAAAAAATGCAAAAATGTCCTAAAAACTCTAAAAAATGAACTTAGAAAATGACCAAAAAATGTTCTTAGATGAGTGAAAAAAATTTATTTTTAAAATATTAATTAATAATTATGATTTATGAATAAAATAGATATAAATATCGGCACCAAACTCACAAAACTACGTAAACGGCTTCCTACTGTTGACTTAATTTTTGATATTTTTAAGATTTTTAAAGTTCTAATATTAATTTTTAATATTAGTTGTAATATTATTTGTTCAATATTGTATACAGATCGGTATAGAACCATATTATAGGTACGTGTCGTATTCACTACTAAAGCTACTATTGTATACCTATATAGTTTTGGGTTCGTTCGATATGTAATCTTATCTTACTTACTCTTATATTACTTTTTCAATATCAATGGGCTGGAGTAGGTAATTGCCTATAGGTACTAATTGGGATTACCTTTACGACACATATAAAAAAAAACTTAAAATAAACAAAAATTTGTTATATTTGTAATATTACTTAAAAATGACCTTAAAAATGCAATAAAATGCATTTAACACAAAAAATGCAAAAAATGCAAAAAAATGCAAAATAAAAATTACATATTTTACATTGTTATATCACGAAACAAATTTAGTTTTTGGTTAGAATTGTATAGCACTTAAAGAAAAAAAATGCAAAAGTCACCAAATCCTAGCTCTAGTTATTACGAACACAGTAACATAGTTCTTAAATTGAACTAATAATATACTAATGATGGTCCTTATAACAAACGCAAATCTTGTGTTTTTTATTATTTTTATTTTTTTTTTTTAAGAATCAAGTGTTAATTAAATATAATTTTATACATACTTTTAGCCCATTTTATTCCTCATCAGATGTCTATGAATTTTCTAAATTTACTATGATCTATAAAACTTATATAATTAAAACACGTTGATAATAGGCGTTATACTTAAAACTGTACACACTTACAATACTAAATAATAACATTAATGATAATATTATCAAATATTTAACTAAAATATTGTACTTCCGGTTCAATTTTCGATAAAATGACAGTATTTAAAGATAATTTTAAACTTGAAAATGCCGATTTAATATTCAATGTGTACTAAGTAGTGATCGTGTTAATAAATCAGTTGATATATTTAATACTAACAATTTAGTGTTAAAATAAAAAGACAATCTATGACTTAGCCGGAATTAAAGTACAATAAAGCAGAAAAGGCGATAAATCTTGTACGAAATTAGATTTACTACCTACGTAAAATCAAAACATAAAACTTATTTTTTGACAATAATATAAAATATAAAGAGTTTCATTAATATTGCTTACAACAATAAAATCTGATATCCTAAAATTAAATTAATATAAATGTATTATATACTAAATTAGTTTTAGAATATTCATATAATAATATTGCTAATTTATTGTTAATAATGTTGTAATTACCAGTCAATTAAGAGTAAAGTAACATAGGAGTTATACGAGTAACTTGTTTAACTACAAAACTATATTAGTTTTAAAAGATTTTATGAAAATTAATGCAATTACCCAATGCATTAGTTCATATAAATCGTCAAAAGAAAAAAAACATATTATGTAGGTAATTGACATTCTGAATAACAATAGTTTCTCCAGTAACTTATACACATAGATGATAAAAGTGTAAAACCATTATAGATACATTGAATAAAAACAAAACTAACCCATAATTATAATAATATTCAAAACAAATGTCTATTCATTTGCACTATTAGTAATTATTTATATAGCGCATATGGCTTTAATGTAGGTATAGATCAACTGTAAGCAAATATATTAAAACTAATATGTAGTCTTCACTATTATATTATATAAATAAAAAAAAATACGCACCTAAAATAACAATTTTAAGTAAGCTTTTAAGTTGAATAATAAAAAATTAACTATATAATGGGATTAGATTAACAAATAAATATTTAATAAAAATAATGAGACTCTTAATGTGCTTAAAAATGAAATATTTATAGTGGATAGGTAATGTGTTTAATATTGGTTAATATAATGATAGAGTTAAATTTTTTTTAAATACATAAGAAAAAATACTTCAGTAATGAATTACTTAGGTAGGTATACTTTTTATGATCTCTGATATCGAGTCATATAGACTCAATATAATTGAGTCTTTAGAATTTTTTTTAACGTTATAAAACAACTAAAAATATTTAAAAAAAAAAAAAAAAAAAAAAAAAAGGAGAAAAATAACTCTATGTCAGGTAAATGGTTATGAGGGCTTATGAAAAAAAAAATAAATATGTTTGAAATTAGTCGATTTTGTAATAACGATGATTAGGTCGTTATAATAATTATCAAATATGTACCTGAAATTTACACTTAAAATAAAGTTGTACGTCGAATGTTCTTTTAAATATCGAAGTACAAAAAGTCTAAACAGAAAAAAATGTACACAAAATGTGTCATTGCAGTATCGAATAATAACCTAATCATATCATTATATAAACTATATCATAAAATTAAAACGTCGTCTATGCGACTATTGCTGTTTGATCAAAACAATTGAAAAACGATATAATTAAAACGAAATCCCAGTTGTACAGCAGTTCAGCGTATCTAGAGTTCTCATGCTTCATGTTATTTATTCCATAGTGTCGTACTGGACTTTCTTGATTTTGAAATGTCTGAACACCGCATACCCGCCAACTGTTAGTATGGCGACGGCCGCTAAAGTGATTCCGAATATGAAAGGTACAGTTTCGTTTCGCATGGCGCCAGCACCAATCGACGAACACTGGTAAGCTGTAACACATTATACACGAAATGAGTGTCATACCAGAATATGATTTCTGTTCAATGAATAAATAATTGGTTTTGTGGGCATATCAAATATTGTTTATATTATATGGAGTACCGTTTAATATTATGATTTCAAGTTCCGTTTTGTACACATTTTTAAATAACACGTTTGAAACCAGAAAATCGTTTAAGCACCAAAAAACGTCGTGGAATTAACCACTCATTTTCGCAGGATAATATTACGCGAATATAGTATACTCCGATATACATTTCATATTTGTGTGTAAATAAATTAATATACACTCGAATGATGATTATGACGAGAACAATGATAACGTTTTGATTATCTGTTTTCGTTAAATATATGTACATATTACCTATAGATAAAATTATTTTAACACTACGATATTATTGTAGTTGCATAAAAGTTAACCGAGTTTAGTTTGGAAAAATCGACTGTGCATAGCTACGGATAATTGCAAATTAAAAATGTAGATAAAACAGAGATTATCTAAATATCACCAACATATTAAGATATTTTTTTTATAAAAATTTCCGAAAATAGGTTCGGTTCTACTTCAATACCGTTGATACTTGATAGAGAGTTTGACCCATTAGATCAAGTTATTTCTCACGCTAGCTTTACCAGGAGTGTATTAGCGTGTGTTGAACTTATTTAAAATCCCTATAAGAGAAAAAAAGATATTAGAAGGGTTTTAGTCTGATGAATGGACTAGCTGGTCGATTTTATCAGTTGGTTTATTATTATTATCCTTACTATCAATGGATATATATAATTTAATCTCAGTGTCTACTAGTGTCTGTTTCTCCTATTCAAATTTTCTTTGTTATTATTTTTTAAGTTAAAATTAGTCATGATAGTTTATAAGATTATTATACTACCTATGCATTTGTGATAGTGTGCCAAAATAGTTTAAATTAATTTATTTGATACATTTATTTTTCTTGGATGGAAGTTATACGTTTGTCCGAGTTTTCTTGCATTGTCTCAAAAAATAGGTTCAAATCTCTTTCAAATTTCAAGTTTATTTTTTCTATGCACCTTTTAACCACATAAAAAAAGAAAAATACAAAATCCATGTACACCGGTTTAAATGAATATCACTCTGTAGTAGGCTAACATTGCTATATTTTTTAGTTACCCTAGCTTATAATAGTGATACCGAATTGTAACTATTAGTCATTATTATTTATTCCAAAATATAAATTATAAAGAATATATTTAAGAATTTTTTTCAAAAAATTTCAAACATTTAATAATCATATACAAGCAAAAATGTTTTAAATTTAATTTATAATTTGGAAATCACTAATGGTATTGCAATATTTGTTTATTATTTTAATGTACAATGAATAATAATGTCTACTTTTAAATATTTCGATGCATTAATTAATAATAAGTGGGTTCGAATATTGTTCACGACTTATTTTTCAGTTCTGTTGTTAATACCTGTGGTGTATAATATAATTAAAAAGAGTGTTTCTAATGCGCTTTCCTTCATATTGTTTTTAATATTTACAATATAAGCCTTTTAATTTTTGAAAAATAAAGATCTTCAGTGGTTATATTAATTCTTAAAGCAAGATATTGTGGTTATATGTACTACAAGCCTTTCATAAACTTATGCATAAAATAATTTCTATAAAATAAATTTTAAAATATTTTTCTAATGATTTAACAATTTTATTATTGATATTGTAAAAATTAGGAAAACAACAATAACTAATGTATAATGGAATTAAAAATAATAATTATTCATTTATTTTTAATATTCTTATTCATATATCTGAATTTGAAACTTTAATGTTCTTCTTAATTGTCAGTGTTTGTGTCAAATTTTTAAATTGTCTGTCATCATTAATATACTTCGAGTTATATGTAATAAAGATAGTGAAAACAAAATTATTAATAAGTGGTTTTTCTAATAATCATAATATATTATATTTTAAAAATTATTAATGTGCATTATTTTCGATTTTTTTTTTTGTCATACAAAAAATTATACAGAGAACATTGTTTATTGAACTATTTGTAATTCAAAAAGTGTTTTATATATTTTTTCATACTTTAACTCTTATAACTAAAATTGTACATCATAGTTATCTGTAAAAAATCCATTTACGGGTCCCTGATTTTAAAAAACAATTTAAAATTATATATTAATGATTTATCAGATCAAAAATGAAAAATAATTCCATTAATTTGAAGCATGTAGTGAATTAATTTTGGATAATTGATTACACAGAAGGATACTATCGTAGTGTAATATACTTTATAATGTACAATTGGATGTATGGGTATTTGTAAATTGTATATACAGTTTTAATATTATAAGCACAAAAACAAGTATTTTTTTTTTTTTTTCAGAATTCTCTTCTGAACTTATTTAAATCAATTATAACTATCTGTTTGAGTTTGTAAAATATGATTTTTTAAATGTATTATCCTAACTTTTTGTGAAGCTTTTATTTAATATAATTATAAACCATCATGCACTAATTAAATGGGCAATTGTAAATTTCATCGATTTATAGGAATCAATTTTTGGATTGAATTTAAAATATGTAAATTCCACTGGTACGTTTTTTTTTATCCGAAAACATGTTAACTCTACCGATGGTAAATTAAGTAACTACTAATTAGTGATCATTATTAATTATTACATATAAATGATTTAAATATCTAAATTTTAAATTAATAACCCATGTATAAATAAGATATCTGTACATACATTATGTACCTATTAGATACCTAATGTAATTAATTATTTTTATTACTCTTATTGCTTATTTGTTTTATTGTTATTGCGCTGTGTTTATTAATTTAATTTAAATTTTTTTTCAACCAACTATAGTGATCATTGTTAATTATCATACATATTTTTTAAATATATGTATAAAAAATAGTAATAAGTATTTCAATATTATATTACGTGTAAATAAGAAATCTGTACAAATATTATGTACCTATTATCTAGCTATTGTAGGTAACTTATTATTATTATTGCTTATGTTATTGTTTTATTTTTGTTCTGTGTTTAATAATTTTATATCATACCTATACTGTAATACTAATTTATCACAAGATAAATGTAAAAGCGTAAATCCCGAGTATCTAAATAAAAATAAAAATGTACAGGTGAAATTTACATTTTTTTTTCAGGTAAAAAAAACCAACCAGTGGAATTTACATACGCCCAATTAAATTACTGAAATAGATATTAGATGTTAAATTATTCTAAGACAAAGAAAAAAAATTGAATACTTCTATAAGATAAAATTTAAATTGTATTAGTTTGAAAAAGTAATGTTATATAGATGAAAGACTTTAAATGTATTTAAAATTAAAAATATCAAATAAATTATACAAAAACTAATATACTTTTATATTGTAGTTCGTTTTTATACCAACATAATATTAATTAATCAAATTATTTAATATTTATACTAAATTAAGTTATATAAAATACTTTTTACAATTTTGCAATTAACTAATGTCTAGTACTATTAATATAGGTTATAAACTAGTATAGAATGTTTTATTTTGTATGCATTTCTACTAAATTACAAAATGGAATATAGATAATAAGTTGAGTATGAAAAAATTAAAATTATTGGCTGTCATGCGTAGAATGTATTTGTGCATTAAAATGTGTATTAAGTAATATATGTAAAGTCTCATACATTCATCCGATGTTTAATTAACTATATGATATTAAGCATGTGGTTCAGGACTTTACTGTTAAAACGTATTTTATTCTCTATAGATAATATATATAATATTCTACCTAAAGTTAAAACATTGATAAGTAATACAAATGAATAGAAATGGAATAGAATCGGGAAAAATAAAGAAGAATTTAATATAGCTCAATGCCACTCTAAGGAAAAAAAAGCATCAGCTTAATAAAAAATAACTTTCATGAAATAACCAAGTCAGTTAAGTATAATATTATAAATTGCCTGCTATTCAATTTTATGATATATTTTAATAATATTGTCTGTAAAATTTGTTTATCAAATATTAAAAGTATAAATATTCAAATATTTGAGTACCTATATAATTATTTAAATACCATTATTTTTGTACCTAAAAATTATGATTTAATTTTTTATTTTAGAAATATAAAATTATACGTATAAATAATAAATTATGTTTAATATATTAGTTTTCTTAAAATTGTTGAAAATTAAATATGGTCAAAATATGAATCATAGTAACTGAATTGACAACGATACATTCCTGAAATAAACCAAAATTAACTGGTGGTATTCACATACTATTATTAGAAAATATTTGAAGGATAAATTTTTTATTTATTTTTCTATATTTCATATATTCAGTATATTCTATAGTTAATAGCTATTTCACATGGCTAAAAAAAATGTATACAATAATAGTACCTATACGTATTAGTTATATTTGTTATAATTTATTTTAAAAATATATTTTTAAAAAAATTAGCATTTTAAAATTTATATCATATTATATGATATAATAATAAATAAACAGTGTGATTAGTATACACTTTTGTTATTTTTTTTTTTTTTGTGTGATGATTAATATGTGGCAAAAATAAACATAATTCTTGAAGTATGATTCCAAGCAATAAATACTGTAAATTAATCATGTGTTTTTAATATAACAATTAAGATATTAAAATTGATATTAAATTGTATTAAAATTAACTTTAAGATTACATTAAAGGATATAATTATGAATGTAATTTGGGTTATTTAGTGTATAATTTAATTAATATTAATAGGTAACTATAATATTTATACAGTATAATATAATTTGTAATATTTAACACAACTAATATTCATATGTATAAAATCTATACAAAATATGTAACTAATATCAATAGAATACTACAGGAACTACAGTCTGAAATAAATTATAGACTTTTTTAAAACTATCGTTTTATTATTTATGATTTGATCTTTATATAGATAACAATATTTCTGTATTATATAAATAAATTATTAAATAATGAATTGCTATTGATAATTCTTTTAGCATAGACCATTGTAAGACCTAATATAAATTTGATACTTTAGTATTTTAGTTATAAGTGCGTAGTATTAAAGTAAAACCATAATTGTACTAATTATATTACTTCTATTGAATATTTTAGACTAGAAGTTTTCAATATTCAAGGATGTTTGTTTTTAATGGTACGGGGTTAAATTTATATCGCTCAATAATAATCCAGATTTTTAAACTCAATATAAATTCTAATTAACTTTGCTTTTTATATGTAGTCTTACCTGGTCCAAATTCATTGTTTTTGAATATAAAGGGCTGTACAGTAAATGCTCTGAGTAATACGTATCCTTTCATCGTAGGTACGTTTTGATCACTCAATACCACGCTAATTTCTTTTTGACACGAATATGACTGTCCAACTGGTGTCATGAACAGCAGTGTACCATAACTGGATACTGTTGACAAGCGTACTATTTTATCTGGAAATTAAAAATAAATCATTATTATTTATTTCTTCAAACATAACAAAACCCCTATAAAGCACGTACACAGTTTTAAGAAAAGAATCATTTTATGTTATATTTTTGTATATGTGTTTATTTATCTGTATAAATTATTTATCTACACTAACTACATCACGTCATAAAATATTCGTATAAATTATTAAATAAAATGATGAATAAGAGCTCGATTAAGTCTATTCCTGAATACATTTGTGATATTTTTTAAACAAATTATAATTTTATAAAGAATCTGTTTGATGATTCAAATTTATGTAGGATTAAACAAATAAAAAAAATAAATTTAAATAATACAATGTAATTTAAATAAGAAACTTTATACATAATGCTTTGACTTAGAAATCATCGAAAATATATCTGTCAAATATTTTATAGACATTCTGTATATGTATGTATTTAATTTTTTTTGTTGGTTAAAATGACATATTATAGCAGAAATTTAATGATTTTTAATACAATGACAATCATCATTGTATGAAAAAAAAAATACCTGAGAAAATTTCAATTTTTTCAACTTTTTGTCACATAAATGAAAGTAAGATTGATATTTCATGAATTTTAATACATATATATATCTTATATATTTCTTTCTAGTATAAGAACAGTAATGATAAATATGCATCGATATTTCTTTAATTTATGAATTGTAATATTAAAAAAAAAAAAAAAAAAAAAAAAATTAATTAAGTAATTGGAAAAAATTTGTAAATACATATTTATATTAAATATAATTTTCAATAAATTTATTAGTAAGTCATATTTAGATTTTAAACATACCACTGAATACAAATATGTCCATTATTATATGTTTACATGTTTAATTGGCAGCTAATTAACACTAACTGTTACCGATAATTTGGTGTTATTTCATGACAATTACTTTTTAATTACAATATTTAAAAAAAAATTGTATGTTTAATTCATGTAATAAATAAAAAGAAAACGAATTATTTGTATTTTATGTAATGAATTATGAAATAAAAACAAATTTAAAATTAAATATTTTCCTCCTTTTTATTAGATATTTTAGTAAATAAATAGTAGCTATTTTTAAACAATTAAATAATTGGTGTTAAAAATTGTATTAACAATAATTTATAATATTTCATATAATAAGTCACATGAAATAATTTATTTAATTAGAAATATAGCTAAAAAATATGATTAATTTTTGAGTACCTAAATTAATAGTAGGTATAATAATTCTATTAGTTTTTTCAAGTTTTTATTTTATTTTTTTAAATTTTGATAAACAAAAGAAAATTGCAATGTTATTTAATAATATATAATATATGCACTCTCATTAAAAAGCAATTCAATCCTATATTTATTTATAATGTATTAAATAATAGTTGTAAATAATACAATTGAAACAAGTATTTTCTACTCTGTATATATATATTTATTTTTAATCTTAGATCAAGTTGATTTTTGATAGAATAATCTTAATCGAAGAGGGAGAAGGAATACTAATATAAAATAAAGATTGTTCATTGTTGAATAGATACTAACATTGCCGTTAAGTGTTAAGAGCGAAGAAACCGTTGCGTATATTTTTGTAGGTCGGAGAATAATAAAAAACTAAAAAATAAAGAATTACCGTGAAAATTAATCAAAATGTTAAGAAGGATTTTAGAAGGCATTGTAAACTGACCTGAGCTCGAAAATTACCAAAATTATACATCCCAAAATTCTATTTAAATACATTTATGAAATAACCGCAATCAGGGTTTTGTTCTATAGTTATTCTGAACCCGTATTAATTTGATGTTATCCTTGTCAAACTTTTGAATTATCTGGATTATAAAAGATGGTTCAATAAATAATAAAAAAAAACCATGGACAATTTAGATTTTGAAAAAATGATATATTAAAGTTTAGCTTGATATACATTTTCTAATAGTTTTCTACTTATTAATAGGAAAGTAAATAAACTACTTATAGGAAATTATCAGGTGACCAATAACCCTAATGATGATATTAAAGGAAAAATTACACTGTTATTATACACCGTTATTGAATTTCCTCTATAGAGTGAAAAAAAAAAGTGGATGGAGTAAAAAAATGAAACGATAGATGGCAAACGATTAAGTAAGAACATTAAAAAAATGAAAAATAATTTAAATTAAAAATGTTTTCTTTGAGAAAATTACTTAATCCGAAAATCAAAGATAATTTAACTGTAAGCTATTTATATCTTATGAAAAAAAGCGATAAGAAATAATATTATCCGGTTTTCTGAAAAAAACCATATTATAATTATTTCTTAATATTTTTTATTAGTATCATTTTTTCTTTTAACATTAAGGATTCTTAATCTAAATTTCCATGGTTATAAATAATATTATTTTTAAATAAGACTATTAAAAAGTAAGTAAGTTTAAATTAAACTCGTGTGACAAGTCAAAATTTGGATCAAAAACTAATTAGCAATATATTTGAATTAATTGATATTATATAAAACATTAAATTATTTACAAATTATATTCATTATCATATCGTCTTTCCAATATGTTTCTGTATTTCCAAAATAAAAATTAAACTAAAACCATTAATTAATAAACAATAATTATTATAACAAAGATGAACATAATCAAGTATAGTTCCTTGACTTTTTCAAAATATTGATATCAAAACAACAAAATATAATAGTTTATGGTTTAATATACATGGTTTTTTTTAGATCACGATGAAAATATTGATGAAAACCAGTACTACGTGTACTTTTTTAATATTTTTAAGTCAATTTTTTAAATTGTATGATATGATTTTTTTTAGCTACTATTTTAATTAAAATTTAGATTTAAGAGTTATGAGGATTCTCATATTGTATATAGTATGAATTAGATTTTTAGATATTATAAAATAAAACAAGATATACGAGTATAGTAAGTGCAGTAGCAATAAAAATGTTATGTTAGATATACATCCATACAAATTTACTAGAAGAATATAATAAGAAATTAATTAATAAGGAATAGTGTGGGAGTGGCATAAAATGTTAGGAAAACGAGGGTGAATAATTTTTCATAAGTTATTATGTCGTGTTATATGTGTTATAAGGATAACAGACAATGCGAGTAGACATGGAAATAAACGTAGAAGGCAAAAGAAGAAAAGCAAGATACGAGAAAAACGAGTAAACAAAATGTAGAATGACATAAAAATAACTAGTGTGAGTAAAGAAGAGGTAAAAAACAAAGCTTTAAAGAGGGCTAAGATGCGATTGGTCGAGCCCATATATACGAGAGCGAAGGGCAAAGGAAATTAAGAAGAAAACTAATTTAGAGCAATTAATCAGCCTTAAAGGTGCTAAAAGTTTTATTTTAAAATATTATATATTTTATATTTACAGAAATATCAGTAACAATCTCAAAGTTTGTCACTGTATATTTATACCATAATAGTCACTGATTAAGAATTTTTAATCAAATAATTATTTTTAAATTATAATTGAATATACGGAGACGCAAAGAATACATTGAATACATTAATGTTTTCTTCTTTTAAATATTTTATACTTTTCTTGCAACTCTACTTTAGTATAAAATGATGCTGAAATGTAGTACCTAATTAAATCTTTAAGAATTTAATTAATTTTTTTTCAATGAATTAAAGCTCTAGAAGATTAGTTAAATCAGTGAATGAAGTTGAGATAAAACAAATAATATTAAATAATAAACGATATATATGTATATATATTTATTAGATTATCTCTTTATCTTATTTTGTTTTATTTTATATTTACAAAATAGAAACATAGTGACATATTAGTTTTAAAATTATCGATTAAATAATAACTCAAGGAAAAGTAATAATAATAAATAAATTTAAGCATAATTATTGCATTTTTTAACGATTTTCAAAAATATTAATTAAATTATACAACCTAGTTATTACAATATTTAAGACTTTTTAAGTAATAAAAATTAATTTAATCATTTTATTGTGATTAATATTCTCATATTTAAACCATATTGTATTACAAGATATTTTTTTTTATAAAGATTAAATAAAAATGATTGAACAATATTTATATAGTTATTTACTAATTATATTGTATTAGTATTTATAATAGAAATATATTAAAAATAATATATTATTCATATTTATAATCAGCAGATAACTTGGAAAAAAATCCAATAACCATTGAAAATAAGAAATATTAATTTATATTTATGCATAAAATGTCAATAATTTAAATTATAAGTTATTTTGTATTGAAACTATGATTTATACATGTTATATTAATCGTTTTACAAATACCAAGTAGCTAAATTCAAATTTATTTTACAAAACATTATAAAATATTTATAACAATATCAATAACAATATTTAGTATTAAATTAATACTAAAAACGTTTAACCTGAAATTTAAATCGAATCAGTGTGTTTAATTTATTAAAAGTATAAGAAATACATATTATAAATATAAAATTATATATACACTATACAGCCATTATGACTAACTATATAAATTATGAATGATCATTTTATTTTGTTTTGTTTTCTTCAACAAAAAGTCATGTTTATTTTGACATACATGTCAACAAAATTACATTAATATAAATTGCATACATGTTTTCGTGACTACGTATTAAACAATTTCATTTCAAACGTATAAAATGTGATTTGTAAACAAATGTATTGGCCACATATAATTGCAGGCGTTGTAGTGATTGTAGTCAAACAAAGTCAAACAATCAATATTATTACTAAAGTAGGAAACATATTGTGTAATTTAAAAATTTAAAAAGAGTAATCAAAAACATTGTGTTTAAAATGTGAATAAGAAACTGAAGCATAAGAGTCGTTTTATTATAGAATTAAATGTATTAATCATAATTGTATTTTAGCGTTTACTAAAGCAAACATTTCAATATCAGTAATCATAAATAATATTATGAACCAATATATTAATTATTGATTATGTAATGTCCTAGTCACAAATCTTATTTTTTCTGTAAAAATATATAGAATAATAAAAAATATTATGTTGTCTTCCCCAGTTTCGAGTATTTCGATGCATGAATGCTTTTTAATTGCCTATATAATACGCCGTTTTTAATTTCATTTGATCATGACGCCCATAACAGACAAAAAATAAATATTAAAATATCTATAATATAATATTAACATTTTAACTTACGGTAAAGTTCTTATCGGTTATTTGTGTGGCACAATATTTTTAGGTTGTATTATAGTTTATCTAAATAAATATAATCAAAATTGACAATATTTTAAATATGTACATTATTTTATATTTTATATCAACAGTACTTCTGATATTTCATTAAAATTTAGTAAAAAATGTTTCATGCATTCATGAACTAAAAATGTAAAAACTAAAACCCTGATAAACCAAATAAGATAGATTTGTTAGAAAGTATGTTTTTTTTTTTTTTTTTTTTGATGATACATTATGTACATATCATTATTGAAAACAATATGTTAGTTGGATCGAAATTTCTTAATACTTAAATAAAAATGTTTATGAAGTATTCGTTAAATTTAATCCTTACCTTTAGTTTTAATATGATCAAAATGTTTATCAGCTGTATTTATCTCGAGTTCCAATGCCTTTACAAACCATCTTTCTCCTCCAAGAGTCTAAAACATTAAAATAATCATGATTGCGTTTTTGAATTTCAACATAATTTATTTATAGATATATATATATAAATATTTTTTTTAGATGATTTTATAATTTACAATCAAACCAACTAATTTATTATTTTCAAAACCAATTCTCAATTTATTTACATATACAATCCACCAAAAATTTTTTTACGGTATTTTTTTTTGGTTTTTGTTTGTGCAAAACTACCGATCTCTAATCTTGATTGATTTTAGTAACTTCTTGCAATATATAAATGTAAAATAAGAATATCCTCCTTTATATCCCAGTTTGTCGCTATAAGTTACAACTATTGGTTATTCTTTAAGTTTCTTACCTTTAAGTTGTTAAAATATAATTATGAATTATATTTAATATCATAAATATTATTACAATATGCATATTTTTGTCATAAGTGTATCTCCATAATAACTATTAAGTTTAATAAAATATTACCACTCATAACAAACATTAAAATATTTTTATTTTCTTATAAATAAAGTATATTTGTATTATTTAAAACACTCATATTTCCAATCCTTTCTTTCACTTAAACTTATTATGATTATTACGAAATAATTTAAAATTTTTCAAACTTTAATATAGAATTAAATAAAGTTTTTAAGTTTTAATATAATATACATCTTTATTAATCAATTGAAATAAAACTTATATCCTTTCCTTATTCACATTAAATTTAGAATTCATAATATCTTGTTTAACATGAAATTGTCGTCTCAGAATAAAAAAAGTTTTAAATCAATTTTTTTTTGAAAAATGGGTTTTTTGCATATTATATTGTTTAATATTTAATTCTTGTATAAATCAATCTTGAAATTGTATCGATTTGATGATTATTTAATGAGATATTCAGAATAAAAAGGTTCTAACTCTTGAAAATATGAATGATAAGGGGCAAACTGAGAAATAACAATTAGAACTTTTTAATTCTAAACAATAATTAAGAATGAAATAGTTCTAAACGGTCTTAGGTTTATTTTTTTAGAATGAAAGGGTATATTTATATAATACGGTTATACCACTGATACAAATTTAATTATACAAATTGTTATTGTGCCATAATAAAATATTATTCCGGCATGTAGGTATTTTCCATCTATTTTTGTTTTGTCTGTATGATAGGATAATAATACTGTACGTCTTGTACACGATTAAGTATAAATTATTGACATAATATTGTTAATTATAGATATTATGATGTTATCATTCAATGTCAGATACTGAAAAAATTTATTATGAAACTATATTTCAGAATGTGTTATTTTTCAAAAAAAAAATTTGTTGAGAGTTCTATAACTTTTAGTATGAGTAATTATAATTTTTTTTATTTATACATATTTTTAATTTGTCTTTAAATCATTTAATTACTTACTTTTTTATGGTTATTAAAAAATGTATCTTACTTTTTTAGTATGTAATAGTAGGTATATTTTTAAATACATTCAACTTTGTTATTATTCAAATAATTTTGTTTACATTTTTATCTAAACTTAATAATTCACTTATAACTTAATTGGTGTGAAAAAAGAATAAAAACGTAATTGGGTACGACCCCTTTTAATCTATCACAAGCTAAACCCCATTTGAGTCTATGAATATACAAAGTAATTAATTTAAATTTGAAGATGCACCACTTAGTGATATCGAAGACATCTTAACGTATCGTAGAGTTATATCTTGTAGTAGTTATTCGATATATTTAGTTATATAAGACCTTATAGGTAATTATTAGCTAATTTCAAAACTAAAATAAAATTTACATTTATAAGTTGGCATCACTGAATAAAACAAATTATTTTAATAGTATCAACAATTTCTAAATTAATCAATAATATATTTTTTTTAGAATGAAAAGATTCTAACTTGATAAACAATTTTTATTCTCAGAATGAAAAATTCTACACGTTTAACCTTTTAATTCTAAAATTAATATCTTAGTTTTTTATTATTAACTTGATCAACAACTTCCGTAAAATAAAATTTTTAGTTAAGTCGTGTGTTTTGGAACTTAATTGATACTATTTAAAATGTTCTTAATTTAGTTATTATGTTATTCAATTTATAACTTAAAAACGTTCTTCTGAATAATTACAAAAATTACGTTAGAACCTTTTCATTCTGAGACGACGAAATACATTTTTACAAAATTCTTATACTTAAATTTATATTTTAAAAATCAATTATAATAATAGAAATTAATATTTTTAAAAAAATTTGTATTTTATTACAATATGTATAATATTTTTGTTTTAAGAAAACTATAAGGATTTTTAAATGATCAAAATGTTATTCTTTAACTTACTGACTTTTTTTCACAAAACTCGTATTTTATTTTGATCATTATAAAAATAAAAATTCCATATTTGAACAAAATATAATTTTATAATTTTCTATATACAGTATATTTGTAAAATATAATATATTGTTATTATAATAAGTTTAAAAGGATAAATAGAATTATTGACGAAAATTCGATTTTTCAACTGTCATATATTTTACTGTAAAAGAATTCAATATCATAATTATGGCTGATGAATATTAAATACTAAGAACATCTAATCGATAAGTTTAAATTGAATTTATGTTATAAAATTTAGATTAAATTATTTTTAGCAATATACAAATATACAATAATATAATGACTGAGAATTTAATTTAAAACATGTTATTCAATGAGTATTTAAATAATACATATATACGTATATATATTTTTTTAAATTATATTAACTTACTTAACATAGTTTTATAAAATTTGATTGCATTACATATTATTTTTCATCATTTCAGGTTCAATAGTTATATAAATTATAGTAAAATGAGTAAATCAAAATGTGTTTGTTAATGGAAGGGGTCGTAGTTTTTTAAAAACATTTGTTTAATTTAAAAATAATCGTTTTAAAAATTACTTATATAACATATTTAATATCAAAATACATTTTTTAATTATTGAAAATAAAAATAAACACAACAGAAAAATTTACTCAATTTTCGCAATCTAATTTATCCTAAAAAAAAAAAAAAAAAACAGTAAAAATTATATGTACTAAATCACATGTATATTGTATATATGTATTAATAATACATACAAATAAGCTTAATTTATTATTGAATGCTAAGTTTAAGAACCTTATTTTCATAAGTGAATTTGAACCTATACAAGAACTTACATCAACAGCCGTGATATTAAGTTTTAAAAGCATGTAATATAAACACGTGTATTGAGTATAAAATAATTTATTAGATTATACAATATAAATGTTTTTGAATTGGAAATTTTCTGAAAATTCAGAGTCTCTTTTCTCTGAAACATAATTGACGTATAAAAGTATTATAGGATGAAATAAAAACTTCTGCACAACATTTCAACGAATTAACAAAACTAAAAATAACTGTTTATACATCACACAATTTAGTTTAATAATAAGCATAATAATTCAAATATTACTGATGGGGTTTTTTTTTTTTTATTAACTGTGAAACATCTCATTTTATGTTATATATTACAATGGAATGATGTATTATATGAATACATTTTCTCTAAGTATGGCTCATGGGTTATTAAATATTCAACTATAGCTTACATAATTAAATAATATCTATACATCGGTGAACTTAATAATTACAATCACATTTTCATGAAGATCAGTTTAATACATTACGGTTTATTATAAAAGCAAATCAATTTTTATTATTTAAAAATACTATTACAGATTAGTTACTATAATTTATAGCTCAGACTTGTTATAAAAACTCTGAATATTTAAAATACTTAATTTAAGGGAATATTTATTTTATGATTTTCAATAATTATAGATTATACATTTTTAACTATTGAAAATAAATAGATCTTAAAATTCAAGAAAAAAAAAATATATCTTCTTTCTTAATATATATAAATCTCATGTCACAATGTTTGTCCTCAATGGACTCCTAAACCACTTAACCGATTCTGATGAAATTTTTACACCGTGTGTAATTTGGTCCAACTTAAAAGACAGGATATAGGGTATGGACCTAACTCCTGTGAGTTAGAGATTTAGAGACAAAAACTGAGTTACACCGGTGGCACCCTCTAGCAGATAAAAATAAAATATAAATAATAATACAAAAATCGATAATAGCAGGGCTTGAAATCGATTAATATCGATAAAAACCGAAAAAAAAAATATTATAAAAGTTACGTTACCATGGCCACAATAATTTCAATTTATTTTATTTTATTTTATTTATTTACTAGCACCGGTGAAACTCGCTGTAAGTGAATACCCTAGGTCGGTGAAACTCGCTGTATGTGAATACCCTAGGTCGGTAAAACTCGCTGTATGTGAGTACCCTAGGTAGCTGAATATCGTTTGAAGTGAATTTCCTAGGTCGGTGACAGGACTTAAGAATACAGCAGTTAGAAAAGTCTAGTAGACAAAACCAGTGATAACGACGTTTGACATGTTGGTACCTCTGATTTGGTGGCTCTACACTTTGGCGGTGTCGTTTTAAACGCGTAAATAATAAAAATCTAATTCGAGCGTCTAGTGGTCGGTCATTTCATTAAATTCACAGGTATAATACACCTTGTCCCGTAGCTTGCCCTGTGCTTTTGTGCATGGAAAATAAATAAATACATTCCGAAATGGTAATTAAATGTCTAGCTATCAGTCATTACCCGATGCTTGTCGTTACTCGACTGGGCAATCCGCGTAGCTTGCCCTGTGCTTTTGTGCATGGAAAATAAATAAATACATTCCGAAAAATTAATTAAGTGTCTAGTTATCAGTCATCGTCCAGTGAATATCGATTCCTGACAGGGCAATCCACCTGTAGCGGATTGTCATACCTCCTGACGTCGAAAGCGTTGTACTGTTTAGTACGCAAAAAAGTTTAAGTCGAATCGAGCGCTCGATTTTTCAAGCGATCACCACTGAAAATCCAATTAAACGCGTTTGAACCTCCCAGGTAGGCGATCCGACTGCGTCGA